GGGTGAACAAAGACCTTTAGCAATCTCTTGGTCAGTCCCAGGATAAGTTCTGGAGACAAATGATGCAACAAGTTTGCTAAAAGCAAAATAGGAGACCATACTGGAAAACAGCCTAGAGTGTTTCACTGGAAAAAGACAGATTGAAAATTAATGGTAACTTTGCCAATTTACTAAGATTTTATCTCAGCATCAACTATTTTTTATTTCCTTTTTATCACTTGCTACCTTCTTTTGCCCTTTCTTTTAAAAATAATAATCAGTTAAAAACTCCACATAGTAAAAACTTTACTAGATAAAGTCTAGTGCTAGTTAGTAAATTAGTTTTCTGATCAACTCTCTTAAAATAGAGAACAAATTTGTTTAGATTTCATAACACAAGCTTTAAATGGAATTTTAAAGTTTTCATCATCCATTTCATATCTTATGGTCAAATGCTCTTGTATTCTTAAAAAATATTCTCAATAAGATTAAAACATTAAATTAATATAATGCAATTAATAGTTAATAATAATTTTTCAGTCTTGGATTCATTTAATGCTGAAGATATACAAATCAAGAACTTTTTTTAAAGTGGTATTTTGTTCATACAATAAACTTTCCAAACCAGCTTTCTATTTGATAACAGTAGCAATCTCCATTTATAACAATAAAAACTAATATTCCTGTCTTTGAGGAATGGAGTAATTGGAAACTAATTTCGGCAGTGAATCTTTTACAATCCCATTTTGAACAAGGAATATGAGGAAATAGTTACTCATTATGACCACTATACGGAAGCTGTGCTTATTTACTTTTTGTCATGAAAACAGAAACCTTTGTTAAATTCTCCTCCATACAGTCTAATGGCATCAGATAGTTTTCAAAAACTCCTGGGAATGAAGAAACAGAGCCTTTAAACAGCAGCAACAACAAAATGCTTTCTTTGAATTCCACATCTGTGTTTGTCACTTTCCAAATTGACATTATATGTTAATTAGAGAAAATTCAATAGTAGTTTTTTATATTGTTCAGCCATGGAGAAAATCTTCTCAATATTTAATTTATTTTACAATCAGCTTATTTGCCATCATGCTAAAATATATGATTGCATGTAGCAGATAAAAGTTTTGCTGATCCCATATTTCGCCAAAGGAAACAAATATCAGGTTGGTACACAATATGAAAAGCTGCTTAGAAAGTTGTTGGAAGGCAAAATACATAATTCTGTGCTAGACAGACAAAGAGTACGAGACAACAGCACTTTCATCACCCAGGATGTTTATAGTCCTTTAGTTCTATGTGTTATTCTTCTCTTTAAAAAATGAGTCAGCCAAGCACCTGCAGATCACTGATGTTTTAGAGGTACGACAACTTCCTTCAATTCATAAAACAAATGCTATTTGACTCTATTTATTCAGGAAGTTTGTGGATTTTATTAGTTCTGATTGGATCTTGCAATTTCATTCTGGCTATAATAACTGAATATTTCATATTTCCATATTTGTGTCTAAATAGATTTCTTCAGAGAATCCTTCCTAAAGAAAATTAGTCTTCAGTATTTTTTTTCTTGGCACCAAAGGAAATGTATTCTGAATGTGCTCAGTGACACTTCCTTAATTATTCTTTGTATTGCTTTTGTTAGGCTGAGCTCTGCCATTGAAAATATTGATGTGAGAAAACCTGAATGCAATTTCAGAGCTGTTCTGGACGGCAGCCTTCAATTGTAAGTCTCCCATGCATAAACTGTCTGGAAATGAATCTGCTTTAAGAGATAATTTTCTGGGTTTCAATGTCTTGCTTCATTTTGGCCACTGTGAGGTTGGTCTAGATTGCAGTTAACCTGGTTTTAAAATGGTGGACTCTTCCGATTCTTTCTTCCCACATCCATGTTGGGAAAGGAAGAGCCTGTTGCTTCCTTTTCTGTAAGATGTTTTGGAGACCGTCTTACAGTTGTTCTTGCCACTTGGCGTAGAAGGGGAAAAGGAATGAAGGGAAGGCAAGCCATCACTGGAGGTTATAAGAAGAGATTGAACAGCCATTTGTCTGAAATGGTATTGGCTGCAGGACTGTCAAACTGGTGGCCCATGGGCTAGATGGATCACATGCAGCCCACACCGACCCCAGCTCCGCAAAGGCAAAAAATGTCACGATATATCACGATCTGGCCTGTGATGCAATCACATTTGACACCTGTGGTACAGGGTCTTCTGCTTGAGCAGGGGTTTGGAGCAGGCCAAGTTCCCTTCTTATTCTGTTATTCAATGTTTCACCTTTCTCTGCTGAAGCTTACAAAATACAAATAAATGGAAAACATTTAACTGTTCCACTACTGAATCTGAAAGAGGGAAAAATGCAGCCTTTTAAGGCAAGCAGCCTAGCAACTGATAGTAGAGTGTATTTGTAGTTCAGGGTTGAACTGTAGAGTCCTTGGTGGTATCTGGGTTTGGCTGTTTTCTTGCAGATGTTTTATTACCAAGCTAGGTAACATCATCAGTGCACTGATGATGTTATTTAGTTTGGTAATGAAATGTCTACAAGAAAAGACCAGCCAAGGAGTCCACAGTCCAGAAATTCAGTAATAAATAGTCATTAAAGACAGAGCGCAGGGACTAGGGCAGGGGGGCAGTGTCTGCCAGGGTAGAAACCAGCCATTTGGAATGAAAGAATTTGTGAATGAATAAAGTGCAGTAGGTAGATTGGATTGCCTTGTTTATACCAGAGAAGTACTAATTCTTCTTTGGATGCCAAGAAAGAAAGCTCAGTTGGTGATCAACTTCCCAGAAGATTAAGGGAGCAAGCATGGGTGTGGATCCCACATAAACTACTTGAAGAAAGGTTCAGTATTAATAAGTTTATAGTTCCTAGTCAAAGCAAATAGCATTTAGCACTTAGACATATATACAGTGTTTTACAGCCCTCTCTAAGCGGTTTACAGAGTCAGCATATTGCCCCCAACAATCTGGGTCCTCATTTTACCAACATCTGCAGAATGGAAGGCTGAGTCAACTTTGAGCTGGTGAGACTTGAACTGCTGGCAGTCAGCAGAATTAGCCTGCAAAACTGCATTCTAACCACTGTGTCACCACAACTCTTAATCCTTCTGTTTAAACTTCAAATTCATATTCTTTTCTTTAAAAAATCCCAATTACACGGTCACTTTATGCACAAGGCAGATAAATTCCAAATATAGGTACATTCTGGTACCTTATCTTCTAAGACAGTATCCTAAGAGTGAAAACATCATTCTAGTTGAGAACTAATCTATCATAACTGCCTCTTGTAACCACATAGATTTTTTAAAAGTAACATGCTGTCCTTAAGTTTATCTTCAACCAAGTCATTAATAATTATCAAGAAATTGGGAGTGAAAATACAGTTTGTCTTGATGTTAATGCACTATCTTGACCCACACTTGCAGTGATAGAGTTGTTGCCATATCATATAATTTTGCTATATCACTCTGTATTCCAACTGCCTCAAGGTCAGAAGGAAGATACAATAATGAAAAAGTAGAACAAACAATAGCTAATGGATGGAGCATTTTATAAAAAGCTGCAATGGCAATTCCACAAAGAATAAGATAGCAAAGGAATGCAGTTTTTAAACTGAACACTCCTTGACAGATTCAATAATCAGGGGAAAGCCTTAATTGATGACACTTCATTAGCATAATGAGTTGAAGCTGGGAAAAGAGAGTCCCTTATTAATTAATCAAGCAAAGCACGGACTGTTTCAGTCTCCTACACTCTGCCATTTTCTATTAATCAAGAGAATGTGTATAAAACTCATTTGAATTCACTGTGTGTTGAATATCAGTCTGGGGGAAAATTGTTGGCAATGAAGTATGCTCAACTGAACCCACTTACGTAGAAACCATGCACGTCAGCCATTCACATCCAGGAACCTAAATTACCATCACACAGGGCATCATGATAATATTTCAAGAAGTCTGGCTCTCAATAGCTTCAGGAAGGCAAACAGAAATGACTTCACTTTCATCTTCAAATCTGTTACCTTGCTGGAGGTGATTTCTCCTATCAAATTGGACAGAGTGCAAGAGGGAGATTGAGAAGGCATTTGCCATTCGATGTCAGAATAACCTTTTAATGGCTATGACATTGTTTTGCTAAAAGTCACGTTGCTGGCTAAACTCATATTTAAGCATTATTAAGGCAAAGATAAAGTCTGCACCGGCTGTCCTTTGAAAGAGGAGCTCTAAATCTAAACCTGCAAAGAAAATCTCTTTTTTTAGAATAAACCGATTTCTCGGTGAATTTCTGTATCCAGATACAGATACAACTTGTCACGAAGAAAGATGCCCCAACTTTTCCAAATTCCCTTTCATTTAACTGTATTTACAAAATCTTTAGCTGTTGTCAACAGGCAGGAGGGAGATGAAGCAGATGTGAGTTATGCATTTCCTCTTGCAAGCTTGTGATAGTACTTTTTTCATATTATTTCATATATGGAATTGTATTTTCTTTGTTTAGGAACACAAATGCTAAAGAAAAACGCTTCGTACCTAAAACCAGTCCGTTGCTGGGTATTTTCAGAATGTATTTTTATGCATATGATATGGATAAGGAGCTAACCAATTCCATTCTCCCTCTTATGTACACAGGGATTCATTAAACAGATAGTAAATGGCTGCAGTGTGTAAGGTGTGTGAAAACAGCTGCAATGCATATTGCTTGACATTGAGAGGAGTCGCAATTATCAAGTCCAAAGATCACTATGGCAACTCACCTAGCTGCTGCCACAGCAATCACATTCTGTAAGAATCAATTTAAAGTAGAGATGTCAGTGAACTTTATAATACTTGGCTCAGAGTATGGACAATCAGAACTTATAATAATGCTGGCCATAAAAATTCAGGTTCCATTTTCTTTTTTGACTCCGATTTTAATCCAGGCCAGAGAGAAAAGCTTCCCTCTTCTTCTTCTCTTTTTTTTTCACTTTCCATGTCATCTCCCTCCCTTATTACTATTCCTACTTCATCTGCTCCTTCTCTGAGATCAGTAGCAGAGAACTACAGTAATAATTCTCTCTTACTTTCTTTTCTTCCTCACCCTTGCTATCTTCTTTTTTTTTTCTGTGTCTCCTTTCCATTCTTCCTGTTGTTATTTTACTGGATTTGCTGAGGAAATTGGGCGATAAACTGGGGTGGGGACAGACAGTAAGGAGAAAAAGTAGGAGAAGCTAGAAGAAGAGGGAAAGAAAAGCATATTTCCTTTATGCTACAGAAGCCATCACAGAAACTGGGGAGAAAAGAAGGAAAGGAAAATATGTGGCCATTCAAGAATCAAAGATTTGGTAGGATCACAGGTATTTCAGTTATGACTAAATTTTAAAAAGCAAATGATAGAAGCTACTATCTTTTTTCAGTGTCTAACTTTTGTTGTTAATGCAATAATCATAAATATACCTATTTATTTTATTTCTATAAAGCAGAGGTTTCCAAATTTGAGAACTTTGAGACTTGTGGACTTCAACTCCCTGAATTCTTCAGCCAGCAAACAACAACATACATTTTGCTGAAAGTTGTAAATATAGACTGAACCTGGTAAATATATACCTTGAGTAATGCAATATTTTAAAAAATCATGGATTTTATGATATTTTGTTTATGTTTATTCTAATGTATTGTTCTAAACAACATTGCTTCTACAATCATTTTCTGATTACCATGGGTATGATGAGATAAGTTTACAATGCAGGATACCCTTTCCGTGAGATTTCTGTAGAATTGGGTGAAGCTATCCTTAAAAAAATAGATCTTAACTTCAGTTTAAATTATCAATTGTTTCATTAGTGGGATGCAGGGAATGTAATAATCAACCAATTTGGTAACAATAAAAAAGGACTTATAACTTCAAGGAGACTGCCAACTTTGTTATTGGCATTTGAAACTGTTAATATTGACTGTTCAAGCAATAAAAGCCCAGGAACAGAGAAGCTGGAAAAATACTGACATTTTTGTACACTTTATATTTCATTTTATGCCTGAGCAAGAGCCTTCAAATTAACTTTGAATTTCTTTTCAGTGAAATTTGATGGTTATCTAAAGATGCAGTTAAAGCTAAACTTTCCTAAACAATTCCAGTGGTCTTATTGAAACTTTTTATACTGGACATAGTACTTTGAGATTCACTGTAAGTTTCCCTTTAGATAAAACTTATGAACAACTCCATTCAGGATAAATCCATACTGAAAACTGAAATTCAATTTTGGTAGAATAGTTACTGCTGTAACTGAGCCGTAGTGGCACAGTGGTTAGAATGCAATATTGCAGGCTAATTCTGCCAACTGTCAGCAGTTCAATCCTGACCAGCTCAAGGTTGACTCAGCCTTCCATCCTTCTGAGGTTGCTAAATGAGGACCCAGATTGTTGGGGACAATATGCTGACTCTGTAAACCACTTAGAGAGGGCTGTAAAACACTATGAAGCAGTATATAAGTCTAAGTGCTATTGGTATTGTAAATGTATTCTTTCTTTTTTTATATATGTAGAACATGCTGTACTCAAGGCATGTGTAGAATAGAAATATCCCTAGAGAAATGTCTCCTCCATTTTAAAAAGTTATTCTTTTGTTGACATTTTCTGTCACGTTAAATTAAATATGCCTGCCTAGTATGTTGAAAGATACATTTACCTTCAGAAATGTTCAGCATATTGTTAATGATCTCACACTCACCAGCAGGAAAAACCTGTTTCAATTATCAATTTATTTACATCCATTCTAAAATAAATGAAGGTTGATGCTAATAGAGAAAATGGAAAATGATCATGTACAATTCACATTACTACTGTCATGTCTGAGTCAAATAACTCACAGAGAAATGTTTGAGATCATGAATTCATTCAACTTCTGTACTATTAAAATAATAGAGCTGTCCTTAAAAGTAGTCCAGAGGTTTCACTGCTGGGACAAAATGCTTTCTGCTCAGTTATTGAGCAAATTGCAATGCCGGAGTCATATTATACTACGTATATTTGCACTGGCTACCCAGTTACCTTCAAGCCCACTTTGATGTTTGTTCTTAACTTAGAAGTTCCTAAGCCTAAAGCATTTGCTGAAATATCTCTCCTGATATATATCAGCCTGGCCTGCTAACATTTGGGAAGCAGGGATAATAGTGCTGAGTCCCATTTACACAATAAAGGTTCTTCTCAGTTTTGCACTTCCTTTAATATGTACCTCCATCCTTTAGAAGTGTATCTGTTATCTTCAATATTGCAGTATTGACCATTTTTTTAAAAAAAAAACACATCCTTTTACCAATTTGTTATCATAGGTCTTACCTTATTTTTGATATATATTTTTTTAATGATGGGTGTTATCTAAAAATAACAACCATGGTTATAATATCAAAATAGCTAGCAGTAATAGCACATCATTTAGAGGGAAGGGAGTTGGAAAGGAGACTGAGAATAGCTGCCATAATCATCACCACTACTTCAAAAGTGGTGTCAGCAGGACTGGCTGGCATGTCAGGTGCTACTAATCCCAACATCATTTGTAACAGGCAATGAAATCATTGCTGGCAGGATGCCTATTGGCTTTCTGCCTCTCCTGGGTTGGCAGTAGAGAGAGCAGTGGTAGCTATTTGTAGTAGAAATCAATCAAGAAATGCCATTAAAGGCAATGATTCTGGCTTGATTCATATGATATTTAGCAGAAAATCTCTCTCTCTCTCTCTCTCTCTCTCTCTCTCTCTCTCTCTCTCTCTCTCTCTCTCTCTCTCCCCTCTCTCTCCCTCCCTCCCTCTCTCATCGGAAATCAGGACTAGAACCTAATCCTGGGCAAAGCCAGTTTGGTTACAAACTGCCTGCTTCACAATAAGGAGTTGCAAATCCAAATGTATACAAACCATAGTTGTATCCCTTTACAGAAAGTGTCACCCAGAGTCAATGTTGAAATCAGGATCAACTGAGATGACTTACCCCAAAAATCATCCAAAAAATCTTCTTGGGATTTAATTTGAGGTTAGTTAGATCCCTCCAACCTTCAAATAACTTTGAGAACATTCCTTGTTCAAAGTCTGGTCCAGCTGGGGGCAGCAATGTCCAATTGAATATCATCAGTGTGCTTCATCATAAACCAATATATGCTTCCTGGTGGTTTTATGTAGAAGTTATTTATTTATTTATATTTATTTATTTGTCAAGAACGTATTAGGTAATAAGTAGAAACATGGATTGGATACATAAAATAGATACAAATAGAGGAAACATTAGGACAGGGACGGTAGGCACGCTGGTGCTCTTATGCATGCCCCTTACAGACCTCTTAGGAATGGGGTGAGGTCAGACAGTGTTAAGTTAAAATTTAGGGGGTTTTGGGGTGAAACCACAGAGTCAGGTAGTGTATTCCAGGCATTAACAACTCTGTTGCTGAAGTCATATTTTCTGCAATCGAGTTTGGAGCGGATCACTTTAAATTTGTATCTATTGTGTGCTTGTGTATTGTTGTGGTTGAAGCTGAAGTAGTCATTGACAGGTAGGACATTGTAGCAAATAATTTTATGAGCTACATTAGGTCATACCAAAGGCGGCGTAGTTCTAAGTTTTCTAAGCCCAGAATTTCAAGTCTGGTGTCATAAGGTATTTTGGTGCGAGCAGAGGAGTGGAGGACTCTTCTTGTGAAATATTTCTGGACACATTCAATTGTATTAATGTCCATTATGTAGTGCGGGTTCCAGACAGATGAGCTGTATTTGAGAATTGACCTAGCAAATGTTTTGTATGCTCTGGTTAGTAGTGTGATATTACCAGAGAAGAAGCTACGCAAGATTAGGTTAACAACTCTTAATGCCTTTTTGGCAATGTTGTTACAGTGGGCTTTGGCACTTAGATCATTAGATAGGAGTACTCCAAGGTCCTTGACAAGGCCATCTACAAGGTCATGTCCACTCAGCTTGTATTTTGTGTTCTGGTTCTTTTTGCCAATGTGTTAGACATTTTTTGGTTGAGATTTGAAATTGCCAATTATTTGACCATTCTGACACAAAGTCAAGGTCTTTTTGAAGGGTAGCAGCATTGTCTGTGGTGTTAAATATTTTTACATCATTGGTGAAGAAAACACAGTTGCTTATAATATGATCTCAAAGGTCATTTATGTATAGTATGAAGAGTGTTGGTCCTAGAACGCTGCTTTGGGAAACACCACTATTAACAGATGCAGGATTTGATAGGGTGCTCTCTATTTTGACCACTTGTTGTCTGTTTGACAGGAATGCAGCTATCCAATTATGTAGGGATCTGGAGATGCCATAGGATTTTAGTTTTAGAAGTAGTTTATCATGTACCACTGAATCAAAGACTTTACAGAAATCTATGTAAATTGTGTCTATTGCTTTGCCCTGATTGAGATTTGTAATCCATATGTTCTTGCAGTGTAGAAGTTGTAGATTACAGGATAATTTTTTTCTGAAACCAAATTGTTTATTGAAGAGTAGGTTGTTTATTCCTAGGCGGAGGATAATGGAATGGTTAATGATTGATTCCATGACTTTGCAGGTGATGCAGCATAAAGAGATTGGTCTGAAATTTTCAACTAGGCTGGGGTTTCCCTTTTTGACCAGATGACCATGGCTAGTGACCATAGTTTGGGTAAGGACTGGTCCTGAAGGATTTTTCAAAGATTATGCTTAGGGGTTCTACTATAGCAGTGGAAAGCATTTTTAAGACGTATGCACATAGTCCATCAGGTCTGATAGATAGAGTTGGTTTTAGTCTGCATAGTGCCTTTTCAACATTTTCTTCTGTGAAATCTATTTGTGTTAGATCGTTGTAGTTATTTGTGGTACTACTAGGGAATGTTGGGCATGAGCCATTGCTGTTTACAAAGACTGAGCCGAAGAATGTGTTGAAGAGGTTTGCTTTAACTGCTTCATCATTGCATTTTTTACCATTAGGTCCTTTTAGGGGTGGGATGGATCTTGAGTCTTTAAGTTTGTTGTTTACAAAATTATAGAAGGCGCAGTTGGATTTTGTGCGCAGGAGGTTCTCTTCTTGTTTGGTGTGGTAATTGGTGCTTTCAGTCTTTATTTGGTGGCATATATTTTTGTAGTGGCTTTTAAAGTTAGCTACATAGCCAGTTTTGTTTTTTCGCCAGAGGGATTTTTTGGGGGGGATTGGAGCTTTCTTATTGAAATGGGTAATTTGTTTTTCCTGGTATTGGTGGTGATTAGTGGTACATATAGTTTAATAACTCTATTGATTTCGAGCAAGAAAATGTTATAATGGTCTTCAGTAGTATTACAGCCAGAGAAAAGAATTTGCCAATCAAGAGATAAGAGGTTGGTGTCTATGAGATCATAGTTCGCTTTTTTGAAGTTGTAGTTGGGTATTCCATTATTTTGGTGATTTTTGTAAGGGCGTATATTGAGACAAAAATCAATTATGTTGTGGTCACTGTTGGAAAAGGGTTCTTTTATTTGTAGTCCATAAATTGAGTTTAAGCTGTTGCAGAAGATGAGGTCAAGGCAGTTGTTGAGTCTAGTATTGTTAGTTACTAGTTGATCTAGACCTAGATTTGTAACAGCATTGTATAGGGTTGT